CCCCCACGCCGCGGCCGATCATGCAGAACGCAGGCACTCCCTCTCTCATCCCCACTCTAAGTCTTGGTAATTCCGTGTTCTTCGCGCATGCATGCACGCTATAAATTTCGGCTGCGCGATTGGTCAGCTCTCTTAACCCGTTGTTGAAAGCTCGGGGTTGCGCGATCAGGAAGGGTCGGCACACGAGCGAAGTAAGAGGTGAGTAGAGTAGGAGTTGGGCAACCTGACGGGCTGGTGCCGAACATGCGGGATTGACGTGGGCGACGACGGACTGTGGGCACGGGCGAATCCGACGGGTGCAGGAGGACCAAGGAAGGTGACAACTTCATGGGTTGGTGCGTGACGACGGACTGTCCGCATCGGAGAGAGAGAGAGAGAAGGAGAGAGTTGAGGTCGATGGACGCGGATTTGCTGTTTCTTTGTCTCTTCCCCCTCTTCATCTGTGTATATACATTTTGATTGCAGCTCCGGGCGGTTCGCCCGTTCTTATTTTCGTTTCGGCTTTCTGAAATCTGGGCTTGGATTTTTGCTCACACTTGTCCTTGCGATGTCCGTCCTGATTGCGTTGTGTCTATGATTGTCGAATGTATGCATGTGTGGATGTTATGCCTGGTTGTCTATCTTTGTGCTAAGAATCCTTGTCCTTGCTTTATATTTGTGTCAAATCTTTGCCCACACCTAATGCCGCTGTAGAGGGGATAAGAATCTGGCCCCGATAGCGATTTTATTGCCGCTTTTGCTTATCTCACGATGGGGTTGTGATATGGTTGCATCTTGCATAATCCGAAGCAATTAGACGATCCGAAGTCTGGCCCCGCGAACGCCGCGGGAGAACACGTGTAAATGCGATCTGAGTCGTGCCCTTACACGCATTCCCGTACGTCGATTCGCCCACCCAAAAAGGTTCGCGGCGGAACCATCATCTCGTACGAGCACGGCGAGGCGCCACTGAGCCTGCCTGTCCTGCACGTGCTCGTGCGCGGTGATGATAACCCGACCCGAGCCATCCCATCGACGATGATACCATGATGCGATCTTGGAGCTCAGACTCATCCTACGACCCGGACTATTTCACCCCTTGGATAAACGAGTTCATAAGGACGCGATACCCCTGTCACACGGAGAATCGACGATGTCCGCGGGAATTCCACTGCGCCACCTCTAGCGACCCTCGGTGCTCTGATTTCCCTTCCCCCGACCACACTTACTACTTCACCCACCCGGGATTTGTTGTCATCACCACCAGTTTCCCTCCTTTCCGTCTTCTTCTCCCGTATCACCAACTCAGTGTCATTCCGTGGCCGGCCATAGCCCCCTATTGGCCCAATACGTTTTGTGTGAATTGCCGACCTAGCGGCGAACAGAGAACTCCGGAATTCCGAAGGCCCAATCAAAGTATGCGGCGGCCTGTGCCACGTGGCGGCCCCCGACGGCCTAACTGTTTAGGTCCGCCTCCACCACGGAGGGATTTCCCCGTAAATCGTCGCCCACAATGCCCGGGCCCCATCGGGCCTTGAGTCCCTTGCACACGCACCCCTCATTCGCTTAATTGCATTCATACCCTTAAGACTCCCCCACTTTCACCAAAAATCCTTGGCACACCCCTTCCAGGCCCACACCCCACTCCGATCAGGAAGTCGTGTTGGGCGTGAGGTTGGTATCGGAGCCCGACATGTGGCTAGGGTCTTAGGATTGATAGCACGTTAATGAGGCGACCAGGCTAACCGTGGGCGACCTCGCCCTCGGAACGCGCATAAACGCGACCCTATCGTCACCAGAAGCAGATCGGTTAACCGACGAGCCGCCAATATGGCTGCCAATGTGCAAAATTCGGTTCCGCAACAAAATGTTAATCCACCTAATCAACCCGCCCCACGTGCACGAGCTCCCATGTCCCCACCGGATCTCTATCTATTTGATCCAGCGCACCATCTCACAAGAGCATGGCTGGCCACGCTTAGAGCACAACAGTACGACGATCACGAAGCACAGATCAACATTCCGGCTCGAATGGGAGGAGACGCTCATCATTGGTTTAGTACCTATGTATGGGTGGATCTCCCGACCTTCGAACGGGACTTTATGAACCGATTCGATTATGTTCACCCTGAGCAAGCGCTGTACATGATCAAGGATCGAGTGCAAAAACCGCTCGAATCCGTCGCGGAATATCGAAACCGGTTCTACAGAATGTTCGTAAAAACTGAGCGAGGTGAGCAAGTAGGGAGAGATCTGTTCATTGACGGACTCCGCAGCCGGAGAATAAGGGCTAAGTTGCGTAAGCAATTTTCCCCCATCACTTATATGCTACAACAGATTATGGTTGCTGCGGAAGAAATGGAAAGGAAGTTCGCGGCGAACTTCCTGGAAGGAGAAGACTACCCTAGAGACGGAGATTCGACCGAGCTCGCACGAGCGAGAGCGNCGGAAGAAATGGAAAGGAAGTTCGCGGCGAACTTCCTGGAAGGAGAAGACTACCCTAGAGACGGAGATTCGACCGAGCTCGCACGAGCGAGAGCGGAGCTGGCTGCTTTGCAGAATAAATTTGAAAACATGGGGTTTGTACCAGGACCTGTCACCTATATGGGACAGATAGGCCCCAAACGAGTAATCCTAAGCAAGACTCCGAGCATCTCTGCTCCTATGATGCCCCCACCCGTCAGGGCGCTACCCCCCCCACCAGTTGAGGCTCCCGCACGAACGAACGAATCGGCAGCCATTTTCGAACTAACCAAAACCTTGATTAGTTTGATCCAGGAAAGCAAAAAGGAGCAGCGATAGCACAATGCGTGGCTGGAAGCCATGATGAGGAACATGTGGCCCATTGCAGTACGCGCCCCTCCGATGCAGCAAGGATTAGCCCCGGCAACTGCGCTCGGAGGAGTCGCAAATAATCTGAATGTCTATTATGCCTGTCATCAGCCAGGACATCTAGCCCGTGATTGCCCCCACCGACCCCCACAACAGCGGATCGGGGTCGCACCTATGGCTGCGGCTCCCATTGCCAACGGACCTGGACGAGTCAGAGCTTTGATGGAAGAAGTGGAGGGTGGGGGAAGTGCCCTGGCCACTACGGAAGAGGCCGCCGAGCTAATTCTGGAGGACCCACCTTCGTCACAGGAGAGATCGATGTATTAAACATCATCCGAGCATTGGACCATCGGATTCCCCTTCCGATCGGTCACCTACTCTCGATCTCCGAGCAAGCCAACGAGCGAATGCTACAGCATTGCAAGGCAAACCGAAAATGATTCGCCCTCGCCCGAACACCGAATGCAAAAGCCAAAGGCCCCGCGCCAGAAGAAAACCCAACAGGCACTCCGGATCCAATACGGGTAGGTTTAATTCAGAAAGACGATCATTTCTTACGGATTAAACCAATTCCGTGGAAATCCGCAGAATGTGATATTGAAATTTGGGGAATTCCTTACAACGCAATTATAGACTCGGGAGCAGCTGTGTTGGCTATTTCACTGAGAGTGGTCGAAAGGGCAGGTAGGAAAAACGACCTGATCATGCTTTCTGAGAAAGATCAGCTCGTTTCGGCTGAGGAAGAAAGGATTAAAACCGTGGGAAAAATGACCAATGTCGCTTTTTGATTGGGTAAAGTGCACGCGCTTGGGGATGTCGTAGTACTGGATGTCAATACGTACGGCGTTCTTTTTGGACTTCCCGCTCTTGTGGCGTTACGAGCAAGCCTGGACTTCGAACGACGATCGATCGTCCTCCGAAATACAGGGGGAAAACCCTACGCTGTGCCCATGCGATTGACCCTTCGCACTACTATTAACGCGGTTCCGCGGGTTTCGTCGATGATGGTAGGGACTCTCCGCATGATCTCCTGGGATGAATCCGCAGACGGAAAGTCATCAACGAATGATGCGGACAACAGTGACAAAGATGATCCGGAGATCTTGAAATTAGCACGACAGCGCGTTTACTACCTGCCGCCCAAAACGATAGCGAGAACGATGCAACTTACCAGCTGAAAAATTCAAAGAACCAAGGCAATGATCTTGGGTGAGCCCCTCGTGCAGATTTCGAGGATAGTCAATTCTTTGGAACCCCCTCAAACTCTGTACGAAGGAATCACCCCTCTCCTCGCCCGGTACAGCGACAAGAAGCATTACTGTGACATTACGGATCTACCGAAGTCCTTACTAACATCGGCTAAAGAAGTGAGATTGTTACGCTTGGGGGCGGAAGCAAGCTCTCTAGAACCCCCTGGGCGTTTCGAAGCAGAAACAGACGGACTGGGGATAAAGATTGCAACCAAGGAAGTGCCATGGCAGGATGTTTGTGACGGGATTACCCCGGAAGGACACGTGGCCATCCGGGAAGAAGATGCCCAGATAATGGTCACGGTGTTCTCCTGGCGATCGGACCATTCATTCATCTCGGCGCCTTCACCCGACTTGGCAAAACAGGCGAGCACGAAACAGATTGACGTTCGGATCTGGGACCAACTTTTCGAACTGCACGTCCCACAGTACGTGCCGGATGAAATCCACCGGGTAATTGCGGATATTCTAACAGAATATCAAGGAGCGATTAGTGTGTCTGACACTGATATTGGGTTGTCATTAGTAATCCAACATGAAATTCAGACAGGAAATCACTCCCCGATTCATTGCAAACCTTATCGGTATTCCTTGATTGAACGTGAAAAGGCTCTCGAACGAATTCGGGAGTTCGAAACCAGCGGCTGGATTGAACCCGCTACCGGACCTTGGTCCTTTCCCGTAGTGTTAGTACCGAAGAAAAACGGGGTGATTCGCATTTGCATTGATTATCGCAAGCTGAATGAAATCACGATCAAAGATGTGTATCCCGTCCCCCGGATTGATGATTTGTTGGATGCGATTGAATGCACTAATTATTTCAGCAAGTTTGATATTCGGCATGGCTTCCATCATATTCTGGTAAGGGAAGAAGATCGGCCAAAGACGGCCTTTGTACTATTTGAGGGCACGTGGCAGTGGGTTCGGTGTCCGATAAGGATTTGCAATGTGTCTGCCACGTTTCAGCGAGCGATGAACATGACGCTCCAAAATTTCGTCAACAAGACACGGGTGACGCAAGGGATGATTAACTTCTGCGTGATCGTGTACATGGACGATATCCTGGTCTATTCGGAAACCTATCACGGGCACGCGCAACATATCAACTGGACATTGGGCGCATTGCGAGACGCTGGGTTCAAGATTGCGCTCGAGAAGAGCGAATTTTTCCTCTCGGAAATTTCGTTCTTGGGCTATGTCGTGACACGTGGAGGATTGAGGCCGGACTCGAGAAAAGTTGCGGCGGTGAAGGAAGCCCCGGTTCCCACGTCACTGACGCAGGTTCGAGCCTTCTTGGGGCTGGTGTCGTACTACCGGCGCTTCATCAAGGGTTTTGCCGCGATTGCACGACCACTAACAAATCTGTTACGAAAGGACCAGCCTCTCAACTGGGACGCGGAGTGCCAGCAGGCCTTTGCAACCCTCAAAGACGCTCTGGCGACGACCCCTAGTTTGATTCGGCCGGACCCCTCGAAGCAGTTTATTCTCATCACAGACTGGCAACCGGAAGCTATTTCCGCTATTCTAGCGCGGAAGGGGAACGATGGTCGAGAACACGTCATCGAGTACGCGTCACGCACCGTACCGGACGAACGAAGGAACGACTCCGCACCTCAAAGCGAGTGTTATGCGGTAGTCTGGGGAATCCAACACTTCCATCCGTATCTCTACGGACAGAAGTTTCGCCTCGTGACGGATCACGAGTCTCTGCTAGCATTGAAGAAGCTCACCAACTACACGGGCATGATTGGCCGTTGGGCAGTGCGACTGCAAGAGTACGACTTCGATATCGTCCACCGGAAGATAGAGCGACACGGCAACGCGGACGGATTGACACGTCTGCATCGACCTGCCAAGGTACCAAAGGGCGAGGAAATTACACCGTGGAAAGAGCCGGACTTGACTAACGAGCCGAAATACGGGTAAGTGGCGGTTCTTCCACGTGGCAAGAAGCAAAACGGTGGCGATGGGTGATGGAGGTAACCCCACTACCCCTCTCTCTCCCCCTTCCTCCTCGTCTCTCCTCTCCTTGCCTGACAAATTTTGCTATTTTTGCGAAGCTATCTCCCGCGTATATTCGGTCTCCATGCGTCATAACGGGGAAGGGTATGCGGATTGGATAGATTGCCAACAGTGTGTCGCGCGAGCCCATGGCTCGTGCATCCAATACAGGAACGATAGAAAACCGTGGTTGTGCCCCTTGTGCCGGACCGACAAGATTCCGACCGAGGCTCACTTTTTGGATGCCACGTCAGAAGGGTTGGAAAAGACCCGGAAGTTTAGAAGGGCCGAAGTATGGACTGATATTGCCTTAATTGCCACCCTAGTAGGTAACCCCCTCCAGGATTTCACCAAGGAAGATCGGAGGAGGGCCAACGAAAGGGCTCGGGATTATCGGTGGATAGAAGGCAGATTAGAAAAACGAAAAACGGACGGCAGTGGGATTTGGATGGTGGTACCGCATCCGTTCATGCGGTATGACTGGGTTAAGACAGCCCACGAGGAAAATGCGGCCCATTTTGCCGTACGAATCACGGAGTCCGCTATCGACAAAAATGAGTGGTATTGGTCCAATATCCGCGGCGATGTGAAATACATTGTCGTCAACTGCCAAGTCTGCACCGCTGATAAAGCGCCGATTCAGCCACCAAGATCGATAGTGCCCACGGTTGTCGAACGGCCATTTCAAAGAGTGAGCATGGACACTACCGACGTAGTGGTGCCCCCTGGCCCTAATAGTTGCGAGTATTCAGTCTTATTGGTATTTGTCGACCATTTCTCGAAATGGATCGAAGCGTATCCTTGTCGCACGCGGCAAGCCACGGAGATCACGCGATATGTCAACCGTTTCCTCGGGATGCATCAGGATACGGAAGAGATCCTAACTGACAACGGGGCTGGATTCAGGGGAGAAGTGTTAAAGAATCTGGTCATACATGGCATTGCCATACGGAACACTGCACCCCACATGTCACAATCCAATGGGCTGGTCGAAAACGCTAACCGGGTGATAAAGAGAGCATTGCGACGAAACATCGCGGCACGGGATCCGAGGCCCTGGTCCGATATCGTCGATCACATTCTGGCGGTCCACCGCGGAACGCCCCACGAATCGACGGGGTTAAGTCCCTTCCAATTAAGGACCAATAGCATCGCTTGCGTTTCGATACCAAGCCTCCTAGATGAGTCTACATTGAACCGATGACCCACCAGGGCCACGGCTAGGGACAAGGCCAACGGCACCTAGAGCTAATGGAATGGTCACTGCCCAGGCTAACCCGAAAACGACAGAAAATGACCGAACTAGCCCACGGCCGACAGGTCCGGAGCTACGAGGCCCGAAATGGGAATGCGGGTCCGCGGCCCCAATACAAATTGGGGGACGTGGTGCAGGTGAGGAAATGTGCTCGCCAGGGTAAGCTAGCGCCACGATTCTTCGGGCGATATCGCGTGATTGAGCTCGGCCCCAACGGCGTGGACATCGTGCGTCTCGCCCCTGAAGTCTTTGCCAGCCGATCGGCTCATCCGATCACACGCCACGTGTCCTATCTTCGCCTCCTCCCCTCTGCCCCGTCTCCCTCTCCCTCGATCTTTCTTTCTGAGGAAGCCGACGACGATGGCTCTGACTCTCCGCCATCTCCCTCTTCCTCTTGCTCCCTCTCTGCCACCCCGCCAACCCCGCCATCGCCATGAGCTTCGCCATCGAGCGAGCTTTCGGTGATCAGTTGTTGATGCCACGAGGAGAGATTTCAGCCATCCGCCAAGTGCATCATCCACGTATCAGCCCCGACTTCATGCGCTTTGCGTAGTTCTTCTGCACTGTGGGTGTATACGGCGCGGCAGAATTCCGATTCACGAGCAATCCCCAGGTGGTGGTGCTGGCCGAGGCAACGGCGTTCCAACGGCGAGCGGCCCCGGGAATCAGCCACGTGTCTACCGTGGTAGTCTTCAGCGGCGACATCACCGCCCTCGATCCGGTACGGAAAGCCGCCATCGAAAGCACCTTGTACCGGTGGGGTCGCGATCTGGCCACTGATTGGGATCGACGGCTCACAAGGCACGGTGACGAGTGCTATCCTGTCGACGGCATCGAAGTCAACACGTTGCGCACGACGCTGCGCGAGCCACCTGTCGTCCTCCTAGAACTTGCTCCCTTCCAACAGCGCAGATGAGTCGCGCGCCGATCTCGACGTTCTCTCCTCCGTCTCTCTTCCCTATCTTCTGGCAGTCCTCTCACTACCCTCTTCTCTCCTTCCGCCTGGAACCGCTGACAGTACCCATCGTTGATCCGGACCGTTGGAAGCTGTGGCGTGCAGAATTCATTGAGCTCTCGTTCTGCCTGCTACGAGTGGATCTGAACTGGACGTGGGAAGGCGATCAAAGGTCCGCGTCAGAGACTGTGGAGTTGCTCGTCATTCAGGCGTGGAGGACCAATGTGGCGGGGGACCTTCTAGGATTCGTCTTTGGAGCAGTGGATCGGGGAAACCGATCACAGATCGCGCGCGAACTTACGATTGTGATCGCGCGACTGGCAGACGAGCTCCCCCTTGACATCGTCTCTCAGAGCGACGAAGAACCCGTGCCACATACCCTCTCGAGGGACCTCGTTCCAAGCCTCCAGTGGTCGGTTTGTATCGAGGAGCGTTGGGCGGACGACCGTTTTCCCTCCCGTAGCGAGTACCTGGACGTCCACAGCCTGACTAATCCCCGCTTCTTTCGGCAACCAACGGCGTTCGAGTGGGCGGCGCTGAGAGCAGAAGAGGAGGCCGAAGAGGAATCGGAAGGAGAATTGAGGAGAGAGGCCGGGGAAGCAGCGGCCCGATTGGCCGAGGACGAGGAAGAAGAGCGCGAAGCTGAAGAAGAAGAAGAAGAAGCAGAGGAGGAGACCTCGGAGGAAGAGGAAGAAACCTATAGTGAGTACAGCGAGGGCGAGCAAAGTGAGGAGGAGGACGAAGACGACGAAGAAGTGGAAAGTGGAGACGACCAGGCGCCAACACACGACGACGAGCTCGAGTGGGTGCCAGGACCGGATCGACGAGAGGAGAACCCTGAGGCTGCTGCGCAGCGCAAGAAAGAGATCGCGGAAGGTAAGCAGCAAGCGATCGATCCCGCACCGAACGATCCCTTCAAGGATCCCGAGCCGCCCAAGCCGGAACATGGAGACCTTGCTGCCACGACCTCGAGAGCCGCGACGACAAGGCGCCGACCTTGATCCCGATCCTTGTCCCCCTCCGCCTCCGCCCGTCCCCCAATTCGTCAACGTGTCAATGAGGGGTTTAGCCCTTCGTCCCCGATCCATATGCCACCATCCCCTTAGCTATCTCTCTTTCAATTAGTATTTCCATCGCATCGTCTACCCCCGTAATCCCTTCCCCATCGCCACCTTCCGATTTTCTACTCCGCCCGCCTAGAACTGACTGTCCACCCCCACCCTTCCGTTCGGTGTGCTGTCCCCGATTACCCCCTCCACGTTCTACTCCTTCGCGCCGCGTGGCGAGGCCGTAACCATATACAGGTTTACTGCATCATTACGGGGACCTTCCCCGCGTGCGAGAACCATGATCGGTTTCGCACAGACGTCCTCCGAACCCTCGTATCCCTTTACCCATACTACCTCGCTTCCCTTCCCCGTAGCAGCCAGAGATTCCCCCACTTCCATCGCATTGTCCGTTTTCAAGAACTTCCCTACGACCTCACTGCGATCGGGCGCTTCATACCCGAGCTTACGATGGAGCCGCCCCGCCCTCCCTCATATGCGTATCGCCTTCCCTTCCCCCTTCCGATTAATTACTGATGCAGCGGTAATAGACGCGTGTCACGGCGACGGCACGAGAAAGATCCCATCCTTGGATCGTCGAGAGCCCAGTCTGAGGAACTAGTAGAAGAGCAGAGCTGCCACGTTGGATGACGTCCACACGCAATCGAACGGTAAGTGGCATACAGAGAAGTGCTCCGCGTGTCGATCGATTATAGAAAATCAACACGTGTCAACAAGCAAGCGGGAGCTTGCTAATATTGGAACCCCCTGGGCGTCACATATCATATGTGACGAACCACTTTCTGTAACGCGCAATTTTCTGCGCGGTTGCAACGAGGGGTCCTAAGCTGGGAAGATTGGGCCAATTACGGGAGATCGGGATCGGTGGAGAATTGCATGAGTGTCCTCACTTTTTCGTCCTTTTCGTCGCTTCTTTTTTTCGAATGGTTGGGCACGGAGTTGGGTGTGTCTTGGGACGGCCGGTTGATTGATTGGTCGGATGGATGTCTGGTGCGTCGCCGCGCGCATGCGCGATTAATAAATGTTGACGTCGTTTCCTTCGGTTCGTTTTCGATCTCTTGGGCGCGGACATCGCGCGGGAAATTGCTTCGTTCTTTTTGAATTTCCTTTTAAATTTTTTCCGATTGTCGAGCCCCCGATGACTCTCGGAATTTCGGACTTTTTTTCTAGAAACTGTGTTTTTTTTTGCTTTTTCACATTAGATAGGAATTTAGGAATTCAGTAATTAGGATTTTCCTGCCGCGCGGTGCCTTTTGTCTACGCACTTCTTCATGCGGCCGCAACGGTACTCTGATTAGCGGGCGCCCTAAATCGTGTGTGTAACTGTAATTTTAGGCGGGCGTCATTGTAACTGTATCTTTCTTCTTGCACTGCGTCTCTCCCGCCCTCCCTTTCTTTCTTTTGCTGAAATTTTTGTAAGCCGCGACTTGCATGCTCGGATCGATGCGTGGAGAAGGGTTACGTCCCCCACGCTGCGGCCGATCATGCAGAACGCAGGCACTCCCTCTCTAATCCCCACTCTAAGTCCTGGTAATTCCGTGTTCTTCGCACATGCATGCACGCTATAAATTTCGGCTGCGCGATTAGTCAGCTCTCTTAACCCGTTGTTGGAAGCTCGGGGTTGCGTGATCAAGAAGGGTCGACACACGAGCGAAGTAAGAGGTGAGTAGAGTAGGAGTTAAGCGACCCGACGGGCTGGTGCCGAACGCGCGGGATTGACGTGGGCCACGACGGACTGTGGGCACGGGCAAATCCGACGGGTGCGGGAGGACTAAGCGGGGTGACAACTTCATGGGTTGGTGCGTGACGACAGACTGTCCGC